TCATCCTCGACCGGCTTGGGTGCCTCTTGGGCCGTCTTGGATGCAGTGGGCGCCCACAAGGCAAACACGCCAGAAATATAAGTTTTCCCATCGGAAATCGACGATGTTTGCTCATTGGGCCACTCTCGGGGTGCCTCTTGGGGCGTCTTCGGGGCCTGTTTTGCTGTTTTTTTTCTGGTCTCATGGGGGCCCCTCATCCCGGTCTCTCAACCCTGTTCATGCTTTCACCTTCCTCATCCATGTTCATGTTATTTGTGTTTCCTCGCCGCCTTCCTTACTCCAACCTGGGCACCCTCCTCCAGTCTCCAAGTCGCGGCGAAAGGTCTGGTCACACCCTGCATGCCAGTTGTAGTCATTTTCTTCGTTGACCATCTGATGGTGTCGCTGTCGTTCCCGTCGCACCCGTCGTCCATTGAGACTCGCCCTCGCGCCCAAACACTCACCGACAAACGCTCCCAGCGAGACGTGCCAAAAAAAATGAGATACACATGTGGGGACCACCGCGCTGAAACATTGCTGGCCCGGCCCCGAGGCCTGGCGAGGGCCCCTGGAGGCCGGGAGCGATGACAAACAGATGTCTGCGGGCGTGAATTAAAGGGGGGGGCGACACAAGTTGGGGAAGAGACGTGCATCTATCGTGCCCCTTGTGGGTCCCAGGGGGCCCCTTGAGGGCCGCTTGAGGCAAAAGGTACACCTTTCTTCGATCGACGCCCGATGTCTTTATTTGTTTCGAGAGGCCAGATGTCTGGACAGGGATCGAACAATGTCGTCATTACGTCGAAGGGTCCCGTTGTCCCTTGCCCCCGGGCGCGCCGCCGAATCTGGTCTTTGGGTCATAACTAGGGTCTCCGGCGGCGTTCGGAACGATCCGGGCATCCCGGGAACGCCCTCGGCGAGGCACAGCTGCTGACAAGCATCCCGAGGCTGCAATAACGGCCGAACACCGACGAAACACACCACCTCGAACCTCGAACCTCGAACTCCCTTCGTCCCTCCCCCTGGGCCGCCGACAACGGCGACGACGAACGCACGGCACGGCGACGGCGGTGGTGGCGTCGCTGGTCGAGGTTCATTCCTCCTCCTCCTCCTCCTCCTCCTCCTCCTCCTCCTCCTCCTCCTCCTCCGCCTCCTCCTCCTCCTCCTCCTCCTCCGCCTCCTCCTCCTCCTCCTCCTCCTCCTCCTCCTCCTCCTCCTCCTCCTCCTCCTCCTCCTCCTCCTCCTCCCCTCCTCCCCTCCCCCTCCTCCCCCTCCCCTCTCCCTCCCCCTCCACCTCCCCCTTCCCTTCCCCTTCCCCTTCCCCTCCCCCTCCCCCTCCCCCTCCCCCTCCCCCTCCCCCTTCCCCCTCCCCTCTTCCTCCCCCTCCCTTTCCCCTTCCCCCTTCCCCTTCCCCCCTTCCCCTCCCCCTCGCCCGTTCCCCGTTCCCCGTTCCCCGTTCCCCGTTCCCCGTTCCCCGTTCCCCTTCCCCTCCCCCTCCCCTCCTCCTCCTCCTCCTCCTCCTCCTCCTCCTCCTCCTCCTCCTCCTCCTCCTCCTCCTCCTCCTCCTCCTCCTCCTCCTCACTCCTCCTCACTCCTCCTCACTCCTCCTCACTTCTCACTCCTCACTGCTGCTCCTCCTCCTCCTCCTCCTCCTTCCCCCCCTCTTCCTCCTCCTCCTCCGTCTCGTCCTCCTTCTCCTGGCTCAAACCGTTTTAGCTCAAGCACGGGTGGCCCAAGGCATCGTTCCCAGTTGGGCTCGAACTAGCCATGGAACGCCCAGCCAATTGCCTTCTCGTGGCGCGTGGGGGGCTCCCACCACAGAACCGTTCTTAAGATAGTTGTTCTCGGTGTGGGATGGCAAGAATGGGCGAATTCGGGTTATCGCAATTATGTATTTCAATGATCGCACTTTCCCGACGACACGGGCGGACGGAGCGCGGCTGTGTTCGTCGTGGTGCTCTCATTGGCCTTCTTCTTCGGCATCCCGTCCGCAACCGAGGGGCACGGGGGCTTCGAGCCCATCTAAGACCCACTCGGGCGGCGGCCTTTTCGATGGAGCGTGGGTCTGGGAGCTATTTCAATTCAGTGCACTTCACTTCTCATGTATCCATCTGGTTGTATTGAAGGGGTGAACACACCGTCGCTCGCTTGCTGTGTTGTGGTCCTTTGGTATTGGCTGTTGGTGAGGCTGTCTGTGGAGGAGGCGATCCGTTTGGGTTGCCCGATGACCAGTGGTGTTCTCACCCTGATAAAGGGCCGTATCGAGTCGAATTCATCTCAGCTTAACCTCTGCCATGCTGTGTGATTTTCTGCACCGTGGGCGCTGTCACTGTCTGGAGGGACCCATCCGCGGTATCATCTCGGTGTTCCACGGGCTTCTCTTTCAGCAGGCCATCTTGTTCAGCGGGCCTTCTTCCATGGCCTTCAGTTCCACGGCTTGAAGTGCGTCTCCTTCTTGTTCGTCGGCTTCTACGGCAAACTCAAAGTGTGTGTGTGTGTGTTGTCGTAAATTGTATCGCTACGCGATGGCGGAATTCCTGGCGGAATCCTCCTCCTCCACCTCCTCCTCCTCCTCCTCCTCCTCCTCCTCCTCCTCCTCCTCCCCCTCACGACGGCCGGGGTCCCGGCTCGCTGTGCAGGTCAGCGTTAGCCTGCGCCAGGCCCTCCAGCTCGTCCACGGTGGCCCCGTGCGTGGCCTGGCTCGGCGCCGCCAGATCGAGCTTCGAGGCTCGAGGCTCGAGGTTCGAGCTTCGAGGTTTTCGGGCGCTCTCGTCGGTCCTTGGCGGCTTTTCGAAGTTCGAGGTTCGAGGTTTTCGGACGCGTTCGTCGGTCCTCAGCAGTTTTTTCAGCCTCGGGGTCCGAGTTGGAGGTTCGAGGTTTTCGGACGCTTTCGTCGGTCCTCGGCGTGAGGAGTGAGGAGGAGTGAGGAGGAGGAGGAGGAGGAGGAGGAGGAGGAGGAGGAGGAGGAGGAGGAGGAGCAGGAGGAGGAGGAGGAGGAGTGATGATGATGATGATGATGATGATGATGATGATGAGGAGGAGGAGGAGGAGGAGGAGGATGAGGGAGGAGGAGGAGTGAACCTCGACCAGCGACGCCATCATCGCCGTCGCCGTGCGTTGTTCGTCGCCGTTGTCGGCGGCCCAGGGGGAGGGACGAAGGGAGTTCGAGGTTCGAGGTTCGAGGCTTGCGGGTGTTTTTCGTCGGTGCTCGGCGGCTGTGGCAGCCTCTGGATGCTTGTCAGCAGCTGTGCCTCGCCGAGGGCGTTCCGGGGGTGCCCAGATCGTCCCGAATGGCCGCCGGAGACCCGACTTTATGACTTATGACCCAAAGATCAAATTCGGTGGTGCGCCCGGGGGGGAGTGAGAAGGAGAAGGCCTTCTCTATGGTTGACCCAAAAGGGGTCCAGTGAAAAGGGGGTGATGCAATAGATTTGGTGCATATATTCGTGGGCTTACAGTAGCTTTGGGGTGTGCAGTACATTCCAGTGCGAAAATGTGTGGCTGGATGTCCGCGTGCAAACACGTTGGTCCAACACAATGCAATGCAATTCTCTGGCGCGATGCATGTGCAATACAGTTGCCCCAAATCTATTGCACCAGCCCCGTTCACCTGGACCCCCTTGTGGGCCACGAGGTTGAAAGGTTCATTTGTTGAATTCAATTAAATAGCAAACGGGCTTGCCCCAAACGTAGCTTTTGCAAATATCGCACATATAATGGGTTACCTAAAATTATGCTGCAAAGCCCTTGGAATCCAACGCGTTGCGGAATGAGCGAAGCTCACAGGGGATAGCAAACGCTCGCGCGAGAGGAGGCACATAACTATTACCCCCGTGGCCTCTCCTCCTCGCCCGCGCCTCCTCTGCGCTGCGACCCCTCTCTTAGGACGATTGGTTCGGGATTTGCTGGCCCCCCCATCTATATTGGCAGCTCGCCGAAAAACCGCCGCCCACATTCAAGAGGGGGCGACGTGGAAGGAAGACGGGAGAGAGAGAGGAGGTCAGGCAATCGGACTCTTTTCCACATGATGATGCTTTTGTTCTCAGCGAGGGAACCCCCCAAACTCTGATCAGACCAGCTTCGTTGAGACGCGACGGTGGGGCGTGTGTTGTGGGTGTGGGCGTTTATTTGTGGCGTCTGTGTCTACTGTTAGGTGGCATTCCGCCCATTGTGTCCTAAGCTGCCCCCCCGTCGAAACTAGCAGGCGCTTCGATAGCGCGCCAACGCAACCCATGTATGAGATAGGCCTGCATTCCTGCTGAATGGACGGCACCAGGCTTGAACGCCAGACCCCTGGGCTACGCAAGCTGAGAGACTCTCCTGGGCAACGCGCGCCGCCGCATGAAACACTCGGCCGATGGCGCCCCTAAATAGCACGCAGTGCGTAAAGTTGGGCTCGCGGCTGCATTGCAGCCCTCTCTTGATAAACCTCAACGGCTGCTGGCATGTGGCATGCTGATGCCACGCCTCACCCGTCTACTTTTTCAGCTTCAACTGCAGCTTAGGCTTCGCGCTCGCAGCGGTCTCTGCCGCTGGTGGCGCGCTCGCACCCGCAGCGCTCGCACTGTGCGATGCTGCTGGCTGCGCAGCGGCGCTCGTGGAGGCGCCGTCCGCGGCGGCAGCCTCGCGCTCGCTCAGCTTAGCCTGCAAAGTCGGAGGCGGCTCCTCGACGGTGACACCAAGCCGCTCAGAGATGTATTTTTTAGATGTCCAAACAGACTTGCCTACAAGTGCGGCGTTCGTGAGAATCGCTGTAGACATAAGCGTGGCTCCTTCTTTAAAGGTAGACTTGATGGCCGGCAGATCTTCGATGAGACTCTTGAGCCCACGTGACTGGGACTCCGAAATCCACTGCAAGGAAACCTTCGCAAGCTCGTCAATGATGCGAGCAGCGGAGGGAAGAGCTGAAATGAACGCCTCGACCTGCTGGAATACTGCATTGTGTTTCGAGTCTTTTTCACCCGACGCCAGCCGCATGTTCTGGTCGAACGTCAAGGCCTGGACGAGAGGCCGATAATGTTCTCCGGATCCCTGTACTTCCTGATGAAGGCTGTCATGCACATCGGGTCGAGCTTCTCCACTAGCTCTTGGAACGAGGTGCCCCGCTGCACCATGAGCGCCACTCTCCACTCCTGCACCTCGGTCTTGGTGGACACTGGCTCGATCAGCGACTCGACGAGACGCAGGGCACTGGTACTTTGCATGCACCCGACGGCATTGCCTGCGAGCACCTGTTCCGCAGTGACCTTGATGGACCTGCACGCCTTCGCCGACTCGACGAGCGCGCTGACCGCTGGAGGCAAGGCCCCGACGAGCTCGGCAATGACGAAGAAGAAGTTCTGAGTTGCGAGCTCGCACTTCGGTGATCCCACGATTGGCCTGACCGCGGAGAGGATCACGCCCTCCGACGACATCTTCGAAATACAATCGACAATCTCTTGAAATGGATGTGCCCTGCTCCCAGAATTCGCCTTTGGCGCGACCTGCACTTTCGACTCTAACTCCCAAATCTCCGACCACGAAGCAAGCCTGGACTCGTCGCACCTCTTCGCGGTGTGGGCCTTCGCTTCGCAGACTTTCACTGCGACCTCGCAGCGCTGCGAGGCCTCCTTGAGGACGGCCCTCTCCGCCGCAGGGATGTCGAACTGCAGCGAGGTGTTCGCGGCGCCCATGGCGATGATGAAGATAAGGCATCGGAATGCAAGTCGGAGGCCACGTCCACATAGCTCGAGAAGTCATCGCTGAAGATGGAGCCCACGAAACCAGCGAGCCCGCCCGAGAAGTCGACGACGACCTGCTGCGCGCGGAAGATGTTCGACACCAAGTCGCCCTTGAGCTTGTAGAGTTGCTGGCCCTCGTGGTCGCCCTCGTCGTCGACGGCGTCCATGTACTTGCTGAACGTTGCCGCGGAGTTGGACATGATGACGTCTTGGAGCGCCGAGAAAGTACGTTCCACTGCGCTGGCGCTGCCTTGCTCCTGCGCGTGGCCCAGGGGCCCAGGATGCCCACGCTCATGCAACAGCCCCCGCCCCCGAAACGGTGACCTCCAAGCCGAGTGCACCCAGGAGATTTCTTCGGGGATGGGGACACAACACAAATGGAGTGTAGGAATCGCACGGGCCCCGATGCCTCGACGTTGGCGTACTTCTCCAGCTCGTGCACGCACTTCGCCACATCGTTGACGACGTTGTCCGCCAGGGATGCGCCGTTTCCCCCGCCGCGCCCTGGAATTGGAATGCGCTCCCAGGCGACCTTGGCATGGCTGACGTTACCGCCCGACACCTTCATGTAGCACTGAAGGCGGTTGCCGATCTTGCCCTTGTGAGAGGCGAGATGAATCCCTTCGGGGCGAAGGCCCCTGGGTAGCTTGTCCCCTGCACTGGCCCCCAAGACCCTCCCGAAGAACCCCATCGAGTACAAGTCGGCAGCGCACTGAGGGGTCCAGCCCATGACAACGTCGATCATGCTGTTGCCCGTGTCCAAATCTGCGATGTTGACCTTTTGGGGGCGGGGGCCCAATGAACTAACCCTTCCCACCTCACCCCCCCCCGCCCTCGCCCTCGAAATGAGGGGCGCAGGAGGGGGAGGCCAGGATGGGATGGGGAAGCCAATTGGGCGCCCCCCGTAACCCACCTTCCCAACCGTGCACTCGCCAGACTTCATCAGCTTGGCGAAGTCGTCGCGATTGGGCTTCTTGACCATCTTGTCGATGAAGCTCGCCACGAGGTTCACCTGACAACTCGACACAAAAGCCTCCGAGCACCCAGACTTCGCCAGGGTCGCCACCGAGAAGTGGTCGCAGCAGTCGTCGTACTTCGCCACCTTCAGGGCCATGACCTCGTTGGCAATGTCACCCGTCGACAGCAAGGTGAACACGGTGCTCGACAGCATGTTGGCTTGGGCCCCTTGGGGACAGGACTTGAATCTGTCGTTGAACTTGCCTGGCAAGCCGTCCAGCTTCTCCACGAAGTCCTGCGGCCGATCCTTGAACAGATCCAAAGTCTCCTTCATCGTGTAAATGTCTACGCTTTTCTTGAAGAGCTTCTCGGGCACCTCCGCCGAGTCGGCCACCCCGACGGAGGCTGCTGCTTTGGCTGCGTTGGCAGCCAGCTTCGTGCGCTGGTTCTCGAAGTCCCTCTTCTTGTACTTCCCGCTCCACAGGATGTCAGCCGAGAAGTACTCATCCGCATCGTTCAGCGCTGCTTCTGCTGCCCCGGCGGCGGACAGGTCACCTTCAGAAATGCGCTTCCTCTTGCGCTCCCCTCTCGCCGACAGGAGGCAGCGCTCCACCCTTTGAGGGGCGTTGGGCGCGGGCGTGCAGATCGTCGAGCTTGCGATGCTGGAGTCCACGTCGCTCAGTCTAGCAATGTCATGGTCATGATCAGGATCCTCGTCGAAGGCTTCATTGGGCAAGGACCAAGACCAAGAGCTCGACAGGGGTCGCTGGCTCCTCGGAATCGAGCGGTGGGTCGCAACTGGCGGGAAGGACGTCTTGCCCAAGACGCGGCGCTCAGGCGTGCCAAGGGCACCCTCTTGCACATTCTCTGCGTGGCGCTGTTCAGCCGCTGCCTGGTCAACGTGCCCCTCCACGACCATCTGTTTTGCGACGTCTCTCTTGCCGCGCCTGTGCCTGTGCGATCCTGCTGGCAAATCTGGTTGGACGACGACCCGCCCGCCGTCGGCATCCTCGATCTCGAAACCCATGGTCTTGGTGATGCACTCCTCCAGTTGGTTCTCGGTCGGGAAACTGAGCCCCTTGATCCTCGCGAACTCCTTCAACGGAGTGCAGGTACCCTCCTCGGCCGCCTCTCTAAACGATTGCTTCTCAACGCTGGTCTTGGACTTTGTATTGGCTGAATCGGTGTGGGCGAACTTGCACCCTCCTGTGACCTTCTCTGCGCGGAGCCTCTGGTGGCGCTCAGCCTCGCCCTCTTCCTCTGCGAGTTTTCTGTTGACCTCTTGTTGGCTCGTGCCTTTCTCGTAGTAGCGGTTGCGCACGTACCCGCATCCACCGCATTCAGCGCCCATCGGTACCCAGAGGCCCGTCTTGTTGCTCTTCTCGCCATTCGTCCACCACAACGGCTCTGTCCTGCCATCTTTGGCGTCCGTCTCCCAACCGTGAGTGTTCTGGTGGCAGGTGCTGCAGGTGGCCATTCGGACGTCGAGATACGGGATACCACCATCTGCCTCCTCCTGCTGCTTTGACTTCTTGCTGGCGGCCCTGGAAGCCTTGGGGGGCTCGCTGGATGCCCTCTTCCTTGCCACTCCCGACCCTGCCGCGTCGCTGACAGGCGCCCCATCCGCGAGCTCTGCACTCCTGCTGGTCTGAAGGAGAAGATGCAGTCAGCAAGAAAGAAACAACTGGGGTTCGCCTTGCCCCTGGAACCCAGAGTTGGACCAAAACGGCAACGGCTGAATGACCTCACGAATGAGGTGCGGTAATGGGCAGCCAATGCAATGCATCGAGGAGTGCTATACTAATGCAATGCAAATGCAATGCTGCGATGCAATACTACAAGCAATGCAAGCCAATGCAACGCACCGGGGAGTGTAATACTACTACGCCGTAGGCGAACAGGATGCGAATGCAATGCTAATGCAGCGGCATAAAGCTTTAGAAACAGTTCAGGCAAGTAAGTAAGTGGAGTAAGTAAGCAAACAGTAGCAGGTAATGACGTAAGTAAATTAAGTAAGTGCATACAGTACGTAATTGAATAAAGTAAGCACGTAAAGTGATACAGTGACAAGTAAGTCAAGTAACGTATTGGATGTAAGTAAGTCAACGAGTAAGTAAGTGAAGTACGGCACGCATTAGAGCATGTGCGTGGGTAAATGAGTAAGTAAGTAGAGTAAGTAAGTAAACGAGTAAGTAAATGAAGCAAGTAAGTGAGTAAACAATTATGTAATTACGTGAGTAAGTAAGTAAGTAAGTGAGCTAGTAAGTAAGTAAACGGGTGAGTGCGTAAGTGAGGGAACTTAAAGAAGTACGCAGCACGCCTTGACGACGCGAGCCAATGGGCTCGCATCGTCGTGGACTGGTGTGGGCTCGGGTTCGAGTCGTCCCGAACTGATGTGGGCTACTTCTCGGGTCGTCCTGGGCTGCTGCGGACTTGGGCTCGAGTCGCCCTGGATTGTCGTGGGCTTGGGTTCGGGTCGCTCCTCCGGAACGAACACAGAGAGATGGATGCGGAGTGAAGGCCGTCAGGCATCAAGGTATGCGAGGGGATGGCGTGGAGAGATTGGGGGAACGGATTTATCATGGGCCCTGCGAGCGAGCGAATCCCTGCTGGGGCTGTCTGCTGGCTGCGGTTGGCGGCTGGCGCCACGATGCAGCAATGTTATAATGAGCCGAGCGCATTCCAAAATGACGTATCTTGGAAAAGGAGGGTGGAGAAGCAGGAGAGGGAGGAGGAAGGGAAGGGGAGGGGGGTGGATGGGATTGGGGAGAGGGCTGGAGCAGGAGAGGAGTTCGAGAAGGGGAGGGCCACGGCGTGCCCTGCCACGCAGCACTCTCACTAGTCCACCGTGCTCAGACTCAGAACCCTGGCTCGGAGCCCGTTGATGTTAGAGGCGGCCAGAGCGTCGTCCTGGGTGATAGTGGAGCTGGCCGTGCTCTGGACATTCACGAGCTTGTTCCGAAGTAAGAACGCCCTGTGCTTATAGAACTTGGCGCGAAACTTCCAAACGAGGATGTCCTTGAACAGGGCCTTGAAGCGCTTTCTCGTGATAGGCCTCACCTTGGAAAGGAACCTAGGATTGGGAAGCTTCGGAAGTGGCGCGGGGGGGCATCCCTGAAATGTGGAAGAATGTCAGCCGATTACTGGAGACAATAATCTCGAAGCAGAAACGGCCATCAGGGGCATCGATGAGAAACGCATGTTGTAATGATGACCTTCATGATGATGACGTTGATAATGAAAGTGGTATCGATGATGTCGATACTGGTCATCTGCATGATGGTGACGATGGTAAACATGGTGATGAGCATAGTGCGGAGTGTCGTTGTCATGACCATGGTGCGAATGGTGATGACCTGACCATGGTGCAATATGGTAAGACCACGTTGAAGACCGCGCCTGGTGATCCTAAGCGGTCGCCCAGCCCTACCAGCTGTCTCGAAGCCGACGGGGGGAAACTGCCACATTATTTCGAGGCGCAAGTAGTAAGCCCCAAGTGCAAGCACTGTCTGGGGAAAGTGATTGCACTGTTTTGGGAAAGTGATTCTCATGGGCACCGCCCTCCTGGCCACAGTTCCCAGACACGTTTGTCAACCACTTGTCTGTGTTTTCTTATGTAATTAGTCCTAGGCCCACATGCTTCAACTACTTGTCATGCGAAACGCTTCTCAAACAAAGACTGAGCCCCAATTCCGCCGCGCCTCCGGCGGCGCCCAAAGGCTGGCGACGGTGACGGACGCGACGAAACGTCGCCCGACCCGTCTCATAGATTGCGATATAGATTGCGCTTGCGCCATAAACCACAAAGGGCCCCATTGGTTGCGGCATAGGTTGCGGCGCCTGAAAGACGGCGATGGCAACAGCGACGGTTGCGCCACAGGTCGCGCCATAGGTTTCGGTCGGAGGGCGGCGGCGGTGACGGTGGCGGTGAAGCACGAAGCCAGTAGTGCAACCACTTGCTCCAGAACAACGGATTCTGATTTTGCTGCTAGGAGTTACTTCAAAGCGGAACCAATGTTCTATTGATGTGTGTGTGAGAGGAAGTTCAAAACATGTGTTACGTATGTAGTAAGTCCGCTATGTTTAATGAAGCGTGGCCGCTATTGAAGTATGTATTTACGGCATGTGCGCAACTATTGATGATGCTTTCGTTATTAAAAGATAAGCACGGAAATGGTTCATAAAGCTGTATCAACGTCACCCCAGTGTATTACTGATGCCGTAATGACGCCATAACAGTTCAATTGATGAAGTATACATAAAGTCTTGACAGTGCCCCAATAATAGTTTGCTGAGGTATTCAAAAATGTCTTTATCTTGTTTGAACCATGCCTTACTCACGCTCTACTAATGTTTAGGTCATGTCTCAACCCATGCACGCGCGCACGCGATGCAGCTTGTATGCGTTTGGCATAACATGGACGGTGCTAAATCGAAAACCAAATTGGGAGAACTCAATGTAAGCATTGGCTTTCTGATCCCAAGAGATGGCCATATAAGAGGCGAGTACATGATCACGAAGCCGAACTGCACCGCGCGCGCGCGTACGCTCGCGCCGCGGCGCGCGCGCGCGATGCAGCTTGCATGCGGTTTATACAAAGTGGACGATGTTAAATCGAAAACCCAATGGGGAAAACCCAATGTAAACAACTGATTTCTGACCCCAAGAGATGGCCGTATAAGAGCCGAATACATTAACACGCATCCGAACTGCATCGCGCGCGCGCGTACGCGCGCGCCGCGGCGCACGATGCAGGTTGCATGCGCTCTCATGCAAAATGCACGATGTTAAATCGAAAGCCCAATGGGGAAAACCCAAATGTAAATATTGGTTTTCTGACCCCAAGAGGTGGCCATATAAGTGCCGAATAAACGAAAACGCAACCAAGCTGCATCGCGCGCGCTCGCGCCAATGCAGCTCGCATGCGCTTTTATGCAACATGGGGTGATGCTAAATCAAAAGCCCAATGGGGAAAACCAATGGTGAAATTTGGCTGCCTCGCCACAAGAGATGGCAATAGGAATGCCGAGTAAATGAAAACGCACCCAAGCTGCATCGCGCGCGCGCACGATGCAGCGTGTATGTGCTGGATGATTGCCCGCTCTGGTTTTAGAATGTGTGTGTGTTTGCTTGCTGCTCTTGATAATGTGCGAGTAACGCCGTAGTAATGTCTTACGGATGCCTTGGTGATGTCTTCACAATGTCTGAACGATGTGTTTGCCATGCCCCAGCATTATCATATGTATGTCATGACAATGACTCAATATTGTCGTGGTATGTTCAAGGGTGCTCTAGTAATACCATCATACTGCCCTGGATAATGTCGCGCGTACTTTCTATGTCGAAGAGCTTGTCTTACTAGTGACTCCATACTGCCTCAATAGTAAAGTTCTAAGGTCTTGACAATGGCTTACTAATGTATCGATATTGTCTCAACAATGTCTCAATAATGTTTAATGCATATTACAACAACGTCGCAAGCATATCCTACATCGCTGCAGGTAATGATGTCGTCGCACTTCTTCAAGAATATCTTCAACCATGCATGTGCGCCAGCGCGCAGCGATCACTGTCGAGATATGAAGCTCGCCGCAGATATGCGCCGCGCATCATGCGACCGCGAGCTAACTGCTCCCCGTTGCGACGTATCTGTCGCGCCAGCCGCAGTTTGTCGCGCGCGATACGCATGCCCGCCGCACGCGGTCATGCCCGCATGCGCAGCCTGGCGCACGCTGCTTCTCTGTAATCAAAGCCTGACCCATCGTACCCACGATGTATCCAGGAGTTATTCAGGAGTTATTCAGGATCATGTCAAGCATTCGGGTGCGATTCAGGAGTTATTCAGGAGTTATTCAGGAGATATCCAGATGTTATTCAGGCATTCAGGAGCTATTCAGGAGCTGCTCAGGAGATAATCGGGAGTCATTCAGGAGTTATTCAGGAGTTATTCAGGTTTTCCGGAATGATTGAGGAGTTATTCAGGCATTCAGGAGTTATTCAGGAGTCGTTCAGGAGTTATTCAGGTGTCATTCAGGGGGTCTTAGGGGTTGTTATGACAATGATACATGCCTCATGTTGGACCTAACTATGATCGGGTGCGCGCGTGCAGATGCTTGCAGCGTTGCGCTTGCAGCTGTCAACTGCTTGGTCCTGGTGGTAACTGGTGATGCACTTAGCTCAACCGAGCCCGATGTTAAACGCTTTGCAGCGTTGCGCGAGACCACGTACCAAGTGTTCTACACGCAGCCAGCTGGCAGGTTCGGCCGCGACCTCAGTCTTGCCACGCCCCATCGCGAGGGCGCTCGGGCTGGCCCAAGAGCGACCTGGGCGCCCAACTGGCTCCGATTCCGCCCGTCTATCATCTCCTCGCCCCTTCCCCCCCCGCCGTCGAGCGCGGTGCCCTTTGCCCCAGCCGATGGGGGGGCCCTGGAAGGGGCGAACGCGCCGAAGCTCCCCGCCCCTTAATGGCTTTTAATATCATTTGGGGCCCAATGGGTCCAGGCCGCCGAGGCGCGCGCCCCGCCGCCGCCGCGCGCGGGCCCCCTCCCCGC